AATCTGCCTGCAATTTAGGAGACCTGGGTTTCTCATTCCTGGCTCAGGAAGATCCCCTGGAGAAAGGAACGACAACTTGCCCCAGTATTCTTGCCTGGGAAATCCCATGGACATAGGAGCCTAGTGGGCTATCCATGAGGTTGTAAAGAGTCAGACATGACTGAGCCACTAATACTTTCACTTTTCATTGCATAAGTTTTGCATTTATGTATTGTATAAGATGATGCATTTATATTGCGATTATGATGTGATGGAGGTGTTAGCAAGCACTCCAGTATTCTTGCCTGGAGAATCCCATGTACAGAGGAGCCTGGCAAGCTACGGTCCAGGGTATCACAAAGAGTCAGACACAACTGAAGTGACCTAGCATGCACACACGCGCCTTAAACAGTATCTCTCCTATTTCCCCAACTCAGAGCTCCACCGTTTGCTTTTGTGAGTTCAATTCTTTTTAGACGCCAGGTAAAAGGGCAATTATACAGTATGTGTCTTTCTCTCATTTATCTCACTTAGCATCATGTCCTCAAAGTCCATCCATGTTGTCGCAAATGGCAGGATTTCCTTTCTCTTCTCGTGGTTGAACAGTATTCTACTATGTGTGCGTTCTACGTCTTTATCCACTCACCCACTGGCGGTCACATAGGTTGTTTCCACAGCTGCTATTGTGAGTGTGTGTGTGTGTGTGTGTGTGTGTGCTCAGTCACTCACGAGTGTGACCCCATAGACTGTAGCCTGTCAGGCTCCTCCGTCTATGAGATTCTCCAGGCAAGGATAGTGGAGGGGATAGTCATGACCTTTCCAGGGGATTTTCCCATCCCAGGAATCAAACCTGGGTCCCCTGCATTGCAGGCAGATTCTTCACTCTCTGACCCACCAGGGAATCATGCTGCAATAAACACAGGAGGGCAGATGGCGCTTCCATGACCTGTTTTCATTTCCTTTGGCTATATACCCAGAAGTGGGATTGATGGGTTGTACTTATAGTTCTATTTTCAATTTTTTGAGGAATGTTCATACTCTTCTTGATGGTGGCCGAACCACTTTACAATCCCAACAGTGAGTGCACAATGGTTCCCTTTTAGGGAGCCTGGACTCTTAAGTGGACAGTAATTGTAGGCACCTTTCTTCTCATTTAGCATCACACTGCTTCTTTTGATGCTATTGACCTCTCGTTCCGTGTGTGTGTGTGTGTGTGTGTGTGTGTGGCTGTTGCTTCCCTTGGTCTCAGTTCTGATCACTTCTTAGTCTCCATCATTGACCTTCTTTTCAGCTGCCAGCCCCTTGTGGTTTCCCAGTGTTCTCCCACGGGTTCCAGGTTCTTCCTATTAGATGTGTTTTCTTGGACAATCTCAGCTAATTGCACAGATTTTACATGTGCACTGCTATTTCCTATTACACTGTGCTGTTGTGCTGGGTTTAGTCTCTTAATCATGTCCGACTCTTTGTGACCACATGGATTGTACCTGCCAGGCTCCTTTGGAGGGGTTCTCCAGGAAAGAATCCTGGAATGGGTTGCCGTGCCTTCTCCAGGGGATCTTCCCAACCCAGGGATCGAACCCAGGTCTCCTGCATTGCAGGCAGATTCTTTACCAGCTGAGCCACCAGAGAGGCCCAAGAATACTGGAGTGGGTACCTATCCCTTCTGCAGGGGATCTTCCTGGCCCAGGAATTGAACGGGGGTCTCCTGCATTGCAGGTGGACTCTACCAGGTGAGTTACCCAGAAAGCCCTGTTACACTGATGACTGCACTTCTGTACTGCCAGCTCTGAACTGTCCTTGGCATCAGGGTAATGCTGGTCTCAAAATGAGTTGGGAAGTGTTTCCTCTACTTATATTCTCTTTAAGAGATTGTTTAGAATTGACATTTGTTCCTTAAATGTTTGGGAGAATTTACACTGATACAGTTTGGGTAAGGGAATTTCTCTTTTGGAAGGCTTTAAAACTCTGGATTTAACTTGTTTAGTAGGTGTAAGTCCATTCAGTGTATCCATTTCACTTGGATGAAATTGAGAAGTTTGTGAATTTTTCAGGAATTGGTCCATTTCTTCCAGTTAGTGAAGTTTACCTTGTCAATTTGTTCATAACATTTTTTCAATCCTTTTAATGTCTGTAGGTTCTATTACTAGACCCTCTTTTATTTATTTCTTTTTTTTCCCCTCTCTCCTCTTTTATTTCTGATGTTGGTAATCAGTGTCTTTTACAGTCAGTCTCAGAGATTTATCAATTTTTTTGTCTTTTAAAATAGCAGTTCATTGATTTTCTCTTTTCATTTTTCTTTCTTTCTTTCATTTTTCATTTTTCTTTTCATTAACTTTTAAAATTTTCTTCCTTCTGCTTAATTTTGGGTTATTTTGCTCATTTTTTTTCTAGTTTCTTAAGGTGTAAAATTAGATTGTTGATTTGAGACCTTTTTTCTCTTCCGACACAAGCATTTAATGTTATGAAATTTCCCTTATGAACTGCTTTACCTGCACCTGACAAATTTGGTGTTATATTTTTATTCAGTTCAGCATGTTTCCCTTGAGATTTTCTCTTTGGCTCATTGATTAATTAGAAGGATGTTTTTAATAAACAGCTGTATTGGGATTTTCCAGACTTTGTTAATATATAAATCAGTTATAGTCAAAGAGCATATTCTGGAGAATTTTATTCTTTTAAGCTTGCTAAGGTTTGTCTTAAGGCTGAGAATATGGTCTACCCTGGTAAGTATTCCATATGCACACGAATAGAATATGTATTCTGATGTTGTTGGGTAGAATGTTCTATAAAACTAATGAGGTCTGGTCTGTTGATGTTTTTGTTATTTCTTCCATATCTTTGCTAATTTATTGAGTATTAGTTCTATCTATTACTGAAAGACGAGGGTTAAACATTTCATACCATAATTGTGGATTTATGTGAAATTTTTTTTTTTGTTTTGCTTGGGGTGTGTTTTGAAACTTGTTAGGTGGCATATGTTTTGATTTAGATTTATTGTTTTGTTTTTTGTTCTCTGTTCCCTTTGGTTTTGTTTCTTTATTTTCCCTATCCTGCTTTCTTATGGATTATTTTAAATGTTTTTCAGTATTTTATTTTAATGTTTCTATTTAGATTTTGACTATATTCCTTTTAATAATCATTTCAGTGCCAAATTTGGGAAGTTTTTAGCCTTTATTTCTTCAAATAGTTTTTCACTGTCACACTCTTTAACTTCCCCCTTTAGACTCAGATGACAATAATATTAGACCTTTTGTTATGATGCCACAGGCCTGTAATGGACTGCTTATTTTTTTCAATCTTTTTTCTCTGTTCTTAGAATTGGATAATCTTTACTAATAAACCGTCAAGTTCACTAAATATTTCCTTTGTCATATCCAATCTGCAACTGAATTCATCCATGGAGATTTTTTTTTTAATTTCAGTTTTTTTATTTTTAATTTCTAGTTGATTCTTTGATGGATCTTTTATTTCTTTAATAAGATTTTTTATGTTTCTGCCTATTTCAAGATTGTTGATCATTGCTTATTGGAGCATTTGTATATTGACTTTTTAATTTATTTTTTGGTATCTAGCATAAGTATTATTATAGTTAGACTAAAGGAGATCAGTCCTGGGTGTTCATTGGAAGGACTGATGTTGAAGCTTGAGCTTTCCTGTCTCCCTCTTGCCTCTGGCACCTTACATTTGTTTGGGATCCCTTTTCCTCTCCTTTGGGTAGAAAGGTAGGGTTTTAAGTACATTTCTGCACCAACCACTTAACCTGTGCGTGTATTCAGGGCCCAGCTGAGGCTGTAAGATGTTAACTATAGAAGAAACTGCCTGTGGGGTAAATGGGAATTCTCTGTGTTCCTTCCCAACTTCTCTATAAATCTAAAACTATTCTAAAATAAAAATGCGTGTTTTTAAAAGTCAATCAATGCTTGTCCCACCTTCCTGGGATCACAGTTGCACGGATCAGAGCCAGATCGCCTAGCTCAGAATTTGGCCCTTGTGGCTTCCCATAGAATCCTCTACCCCTTGGGATCATGGGATTGCTTGAGATCCGGATAAGTGGGAATGGAGAGAAGGAAAAGGTGAGTGTTTTCAAACTCTTTCTGAGTCTGGAGCCACAGCTAGAAGCTTGGAGCACAGCTCCTTCCTCTGTAATGACCTAGAGGGGCGGGATGGGTGTGGGGTGGGAGGGAAGCTCAAGAAGGAAGGGGTCCATACATACAGATTGCCGATTCACTTTGTTGTATAGCAGAAACGAATACAACATTGTAAAACAGTTATATTCCAATAAAAAAAGAAAATAAAATTAGTAAAAAGAAAACAAAACCCTCAAACCCCTCCTCCCATTTGGTGGTTCAAATTCTCATCTCCCCTAGTTTACCTGATGCTATTTATTTATTTTTGAAAAATTTTGGCAGCGCTTGGTGCCATAGGGACCTTAGTTCTCTGATTAGGGTTGGAACCCACATCCCCTGCACTGGTCCACCAGTGAAGTCCCCTGCTGTTTATTTTTCAGCAGTCTTAAAGAGCTGTGCCATGCATTCTGCATCCAGTGAGAGAAAGATGGTAAGTCTGTTTCTTTACTTTTCTCTTTTAACTTTACCTTTTTAAAAAAGTTTTTATTATGAAACATAATATGCATAAGAAAAGAGCATAAGGGATATATATATAACTCTCTATACACACATATATATAGTTAAATGAGTATAAATTTACATAGCAAATTTACATAAGAAAAGAGCATAAGATATATATATATAACTATATGCACATATATAGTTATATCCATATAGCTGAATGAGTGTAAATTGACATAGGAAAAGAGCATAAAAATATATATATAACAATATATGCATATATATACACATATATATAGTTAAATGAGTATGAATTGACACAACCACTCAGGTTAAGAAATAAAACATTATTGATATCACTGATGACTCATTCCCCTCCTTGCTAGAAGTAACCGTTAACTACTGACTTTAAAGGAACTATTTCTATACTTATCTTTTATTTACCATCTGTACCACAGTATGACTTAATTATACCTTTCTCGAACTTTATTTAAATCAAATGTACTCTTTTATGTCTGACTTTCTTTCGTTTGACAGTGTTTGTGAGACTCAGCCATGTCGCTGTGCATAGCTGTTGTTAATTAATTTTCATTTCTGTGTACCGTTGTATAAACAGACAGCAATATGTTATCCATTCAAATGTCGGTGAGGCTTTGGGCTGTTTCTGGTTTGGGTGTTGTAAGAAACAATGCTGTGTAACGTTTTTAGACACTTCTCTTGGAGCACACGCGCGTGGGTTCTCTAAGATAGAGACCCATGAGTGAAATGGCTGGGTCACAGGGTATATCTTCAGCATTAATAATAATGGCAAACTGTTTTCTCGAGTGTTATTCCCATTTACACTCTCGGCAGCAATATATGAGAATCCCTGTGGCTTCATGGGGTTTTTCTTAGTCGTGTTTGTTCCTATCGTGCGTTGCACAAACGATGTTCAATATACATTTGTTAAGGCATGGAACTGACAGCTGGCTATGACTGTGTTTTGTGTGCCTGAGATGAAATCCTTTTGTTCAAATTTTGAAAAGCCTTGGGTTATGCTCTGCTTTCATTAGAAAGGAATTGAGGACATGTCACAACAATTATCTCCAGTGAAAAATGTGCTAAAGGAGGCTAATGATGATTCAAGAAGGAGAGCGGAGACACTTAGTCCTTTGAAGACGAAAATGGCATATCAAAGGCCATCATCTCCTTATTTTAGCATGTTATAGAGTCGGTGGGAAGCTGGGGACTGGGAGATGGAAGGAATATAAAAGAGAGATTATTTCAAGAACCACAGGACACGAAAGAAAAGAATAACAGGAATTTCCACGGTTGAGGAAGAGTGTGTGAGTCATTTGTTGTTCTGTGTCAAGAATCACAATTCACTCTATCAAAGTGATGGTATTCAAGACAAGCTAGGAAGAATTTGAGCCATGCAGTGTTAAGCAGATGACACCACTCCATTTCTGGACTCCAATTTTTGGTCCTGACTTCCTCCCCAAAACTAGTTTAAACTGGCAAACTTGAAAAATCTTTGAAACCTGGCAGGCAGTTTAATACAGAAAGATGATCTCAGGGTCTTATAAGGGTAAATTACAAAATTCTTAAACTTCTTCTGAATCTGGTACAGATGAAAAAATTGCAGTGAGAAATAAGGATATTCTGAATTAAGTGAGAATTTCTGCACAATCCCCCTGAAGAAATCAGTCTTTGAATAACAAAGTAAAATCAATGTAATAACTGGACTAAACTTAATAATGAGAGTAAACATTTTTTTATGATGACGTTTATTTTATACGCCACATTCTGGATGCGTATGACTTTCTCAATACTCCCCAAAATTTTGTGAGGCAGAAAATATCTTTGTTTTACAACACTGAGGCAGAGAGAGGTTAAGTGACTCACTGAAGGTCACACAGCCAGTCTGAGTTGCAGCTAAGAACCAAATAGATCAAATGATCCCAGAGCCTACCTTCTGGGTTTTATTTTGGGTTGTTTGCTCTTAGTTTATTGCAATAAAACTCATTTGATTTTGTTGTTACAGTTCTGGGAGTTTTATTACATGTATGTTTCTGTGACCACCTTCACAGTCATGACAGCCCCAAGGTTTAGAAAACCTCCCATGTGCTGTCCCTCTGTAGTCTCACCATTCCCCATCTCTAGCCTTTGGCAACTGTTTGGTCTTTTCTAAAACATCATGCAGTATACTGTGCGTGGGCTTCCCAGGTGGTGCAACTGTAAAGAATCCACCTGCCAATGCAGGAGGTGCAAGAGATGTGGGTTCGATACCTGGGTTGGAAAGATTCACACACACACACTGTATAATCTTTTAAACTTGACTTCCTTCACTCAGCACAGTGCCTTTGAGATTCAGCCGAGTTGCTGTGACGATCAGTAATTTGTTTCTTATACTGATGAGTAGTTTTCCATTGTGTGGATGCACCATAGTTTGTTTATCTACTCACCTTCTAAAGGACATATCGGTTATTTACAGGGTTTTTTTGGAGTGATTTTGAATAGAGCTGCTATAAACATTTACATACAGGTTTTTGAGTAAACATATCTCTTCATTCCTTTGGGAGAAGGAAATGGCAACCCACTCCAGTATTCTTGCCTGGAAAATCCCGTGGGTGGAGGAGCCTGGGAGGCTACAGTCCATGGGGTCTGCAAAGAGTCGGACACGACTGAGCGACTTCACTTTCACTTCATTCCTTTAGGGTACACGTGAGGATTGTGATTTCTTGGCTATGTAGTAAGGGTATGTTTACAATTTTGTAAGAAATTTTGCCAAAATCTTTTCCTGTATCATTTTACACTCTCAACAGCAAATCACAAAAGATCCAGTGCTCTCTGAACTTACCAGGACTTGATAATGTTGGATTTTCAAAAATTTTTTATTGTAGCCATTCTAACATGTATCGGGATTTTAATTTCATTTTCCTAATGACTTACGATGTTGAACATCTTTCCATTTTCTTATCTGCCGCGCAAATATCTTCTTTGAAGTATCTGTTCAAATCTTTTGCCTGTTTTAAAAATCACCTTGTTTTCTTATTGTTTCATTTTTGCTTTCTTTATATATACTGAATACAAAATTTGGGGGATGTGCAAATATTTTCTTTAAATATCTGGCTCTCCCTTTCATCCACTTAACATTTCTTTCTGCAAAGTAGAAGGTTTTTTTTTAATGAAGTATAGTTTATAAATTTGTTATTTTGTGGATCATGCTTTTGCTTTCACGTCTAAGAACTTTTTGCCAAAGGTCACAATTTGTTTTTGTTTTGTTTATTTTGCTGAGATTTTCTTCTGAGTTTTATATGATTTTATTTTCCATTTATATATTTTACTGAGCTAGTAGACAAATATTGGTAGACAATTCTGAGATGCATTCTAGGGGGTTCCTCTGAAGGTCTCAGCGAGCCATGTCCTAGTTGTCCACTGTGCAGGGCAACTTATACATGCACAATATTATGCATTGTGCCTTAGATGGGTTCCCCTTCTTCCATGATTCACTATCCAGTTTCCCACTCCTGTTCCCTGGCTCATTTTCCAAAACAAAATACCTGCATGTAAGGCCTTGACTCAGGCTCTGCTTTCTAGGAGGACCTCAGCCTAAGCCATTTACCGTGGTCATCCATCTCTTCTTCCATCTCCATCATGATATGACTTAATGAACGTTTGCCTGGCACTAAAAACACAGAGTTCCCTAAACTCTGTGCTCAGGGAGTGTGGATTACTCATTTTTATTTTTTAACCCAGTGCACACATGCTAGTGACTGGCACATGTGGGTGTTCAGAAAATTACGAATAAATAAATTAGTAGAAGTGTTTTTACACTTACTAAATGAAAGTGGCTGGAAGGGATGGAGCAGGAGGAGACAGCAGGTGGGAGAGGGAAGCTTAGCTCACACACAGCGACTGGAGTCCAGAGTGATCCTCCAGCTAAGACAGGGCTGATCAGGGCTTGACGGTATGGTGAGCTCTATTGGGATTCAGATTCTACCCTTTCCTGGCTGTGTGACCAGGAGAGGCTTTCCTGTTGAACGTCAATTTCCCCATCTACAGAATGGGGGAATAATGATATCTACCTCACTGAATTTTATGGAGACAAAAGTGTGACAATGTGCACCTGTCCATCAGAAGTGCGGTGGCAAGAGGATGGAATATTGTACCTCTAAGATTTGCAGGAGATTGAGGCAGTAGCTGTATATCGGTTATTAATATTTATAATGAAAATAAAAATGTTTATCAATAGCAGCTAATAATATAGTGCATGTTCTATGCTGGGTTCTGTTCCAAGAGTTTTTTCTTTCTTTCTTTCTTATTTTTTTGATGTAGACCATTTAAAAAAATCTCTGTTGAATTGATTACAATCTTGTTTCTATTTTATTTTATGGCCTTGAGCATGTGGGTTCTTAGCTCCCCGACCAGGGATAGGACCCATAGCCCCTATATTGGAAGATGAAGTCCTAACCACTGGACTGCCTGGGATGTCCCCCAAGAATTTTTCTGTATTGGCTCATTTGACTCTCAAGTCACTCTGTAAGGTAATGGCATGATATTCAAATTCACGAATGTTTAAACCGAGGCACAGAGAAGGTAAGTGACTTGAGCAAAATCACAGTTAGTAATATGTTGAACTGGGATTTGAACCAAGGCCATCTTGCTTTTAACAACTGTGCTGTATTTCCGATTTGAAATAGTCTGTACCAGTCTGACCACGGAGCCTCTGGGTCTTGACTGCTGCCCCTCTCAGCACTCAGAGAGTGTCATACATTGTAGTCATGACAGCTTGCACTGCAATTTCCCGTGTATCATATACGGAACATCACAAGTGGAGAAGATGAAGAATGTTAGAGTTATCTCCATAGCAGGAGTGTCCACTGCGGCCTGCCCTGCATGTGTGCCAAGTTGCTTCAGTCGTGTCTGACTCTTTGTGACCCTATGTACTGTAGCCCCCACAGGCTTCTCTGTTCATGGGATTCTCTGGGCAAGAATACTGGGGTGGAT